GACTCATTTTACTCTTGGTGATGTGAATGAATGGGGCTGTGACAGCATGGTTCAGTGGGTAAGTATGTGGTTGAGGGAGAAACCCTAGACATCCTCCTCCTTGAACTTCTCTTTCCCTTCCTTAGTCACCCATGCATTGCTAACAAGTCCTCAAAAAGGCCTTTAGTGTGTTCACTGCTCCAAGGGCAGGAGCTCTTACTGCACTTGGAGTGTCTTCAAATGACACCTTTGAAGGTATTCCCAGAATTGAAATATTTTACTGCTGGGAGAAACCTTAGATACCACTTGGACAGCCTGTATTTTATGGACAAGGGAGCTTAATTCTGGACTATTAAGATGTAGGTAAGGCTCCTCAGGTTGAGTCAAAGACAGCACTCTGGGCAGTGTGCACTCTTTCCACTACACCATGCTGCTACTCACAGTGCCACCTTGGCATGGCATGGCACCTTAAATCAAAATTCTGAAGCCTTTCTCAATTAGTTAAGTAAAATAAATTTATTCTATCTCCTTTTATTATAGCATTAAGAAGAGCTTAAGCCACTTAATAAATAAACGGTAGCTGGAGTCACCTCTTGATGGATAATCATGTTTTCTCATTTGCAGTGTAAGTACTAGAAGACAAAGTGACTTTAAAACTGCTATAACAGGACCCAATTATCTGATAAGCAATTCCAAAGGCCATATACACAAACGAAGAACAGACTTCTTTAAAAATGGTGTGTGACAAGGAGTTAAGAGATACTTATGGCACAGAAGCTATGGAAGATGTAATTATTTATCCTTTTACAACTAATGAAAGAAATTGAAAATAAAGCTTTCATTTCAAATCCTTTGTATCTGGATGAAACTTTAATTTTACATAATTAAATTGACTTCACAGTTCAGTGTGTTAAAATATGCAATTAAGCAGCATATCAAGGTTAAATGCCTGCTGTTGTTGGCTCATTTAGAAATCATGCTGCTGAACTCCCAAACGAGAATGAACACCTGCCTGTTTGCTGTTATCCCCAGAGCCGGGGACAGCACACAGCCTGCAGGGTGACTCCAAATTCAGAGTAGGCAGTTGAGTTTTCTTGCATGCATTAACTCCTGCATAAAGTTAGTTGGATATTTAAAGAGTTTTTACTTCTCTTTGTTTTTCAGTGAGGCTTTTTTTTTAATGATAAAATATTCTGGGACTTTGAAGGAGCCTCATGGATTATTAGCTTTATCTCTTACAGAAGTTCCTTCTAAAACACTTGCATCATCAAAATTGTTGCAGTCTGTTTACTGTATGTTAAAACTCATTTATTCCAGTTTTGCCATTTCACAATATATGATACATTTGGCTAAAGACCTTTTATTTTTATTTTTTAATTTTAAAAAAAAATATATTTTTATTGATTTCAAAGATAGGAAAGGAGAGATAGAAACATCAATGATGAGAGAGTCATGGATCGAGCCCACAACCCCGGCATGTGCCCTGACCAGGACTCGAACCCCGATTGCCTGGATCCTAGGTCGACACTCAACCACTGAGCCACACCCGGCCGGGCTAAAGACCATTTAAAATTTAACTTTGCACTCCTGGAAAAGGAGGGGCTCAAGAAATGTTGTGGGAGGTGTTGAAGGAACGATGAAGCAGGACTGGTGTGAATTCACCAGGAATTTGGGAATTCATCTTAAGAGGCAGTGGTCTGTATAGGTGTAGTCATTCATGGTGTACTCTCATTTTCTCTTTGAATAGCACTGTTGTGATGACTAATTTATGGCTGAGCACCATCTTATATTCCCTTTCATTTTAAGACTCTGAGTGGAATATAGTTCAATTAGAACTGAGTTCTTTTCCTTTCTTTCTTATATTCTAGAATCCATGTAAGGGGTTCTTGTTTTGTCCATTGGGATGGTTGTTGGGAAGGACTCATCAATCAAAGCAATATCCTTGTAATGATACATGGAAAACTTGAACGCATTTGGTGGCTTCTCCAGATAAATGGAGGAAGTGTATTGCTAGATTAAGTGCAAAAACCACAAAAAGAATATATGATCATGACATGAGACCACTTAAGACATGAGACTGCTTAGGACAAACTTTTTTGAATTGGGGGCATATGCTATATTTGCAGGTTTATTTTCTTTATAATGCTCTTGTTACTTATTATAGGATGATGAACAGACCATAAAACTGGAAGATTATAAAATATATTACAGTGTGTATAGTGATGGAATGTATGAATGTTTTACTCTTTTGAGGTGAGGCTTGAGATATGGTATTATCTGCTTCCGTGATACCAGAAGGTACGATGGAGTTACAAAACTCTTCTAAAACTTTGTGAGCTATATTTGCCTCTGTCTCATTGCATGGCCTTGGAACCCAAAAGAGGTCTTGGCTACCAAGGGCTATCTTGGGGGTTTTATCAGAAAAAATAATTAATAGTGAAAAAGAACTTTTTAGTAAGTGAAAAATTTTGTTAATATATCTATGCAAATTGTAAATGCACTCATTTATAATCAATTTCATAATTACAAGTTATTCTTATCTTATCAGCTATTTCTTCCCTTACAATCTATAGAACATTAATGGTATTTAGTTTGGGTTATTGCATGCACTTGAATGACATTAAACTACTGTTTAGTGAAACTATGTTCATACACAGACATACAAAATCACTGATTGATCTTCCCTCAATCAAACTTTGGAAGTTTCAACATTGAACAAGTGTTTAAATAATAACAAACAATAAACACTACTTTGCACAGCAACTGTAAACCTTGTACCATTTCTCAGAAACATGCAGGTTTAATTTTCTACATGGCTTAGGATTCTGGTCTCATTTTATACAGACTCTGGTGTACAAGGATCTGACATGTCTGCAGAGTAGAGCTGCCGAGACCTTCTCAGAGTTCCAGATAAAGGATTTCCAGTTGTGAAATAAAAGTGTGGCACAACTGAAATGCTTCATCAATGTGGCCTGATACTCTCTGCTACTTTATTGGATCTGATTTGATACAGATGAATTGTTACTGATTTTAGTCCTTCAGAACCAGATGGAAGAAACTGGATACACGCAAATGTGATACACACAAAAGATAATGAACACAGAAAAATCATACACTGCTCTTAAACCTTATGTTGGCCTTGTAACTTTCTTTCCCATCAACACTTATACTGAGGTGTTTCCAATGTATTGTTGATTGGAACATGTTGCTTTCTTTAATGAAAACCTGAACAGAAAGGATCAGACATCAACATTTAACTGAGCCAACCAGAAGAAAAGACCTTTTGAAAATTGAGTGTTATCCTATAATCCTAGCTGTTCCTTTCTAAAGTATGAATTCAGAATTGTTGTTACTTGTATATGTGGACAGGAGTTAAAATTCCCAATTGCCAAGTAAAAATCTTCCTGTTATTCTTTTTTTAATTTTCTCCTCCTTATCTGTGGTCAAAGGATATCTGGAAAGTTAAAGGTTCTCAATATCACTTGGAGCTGTACAGTGAATATATAGCATTCTGGTCCCATTACTGAGTAGGGTGGAAATCAAGAGTTTGTAGAACAAAGTGATGTTTTCTTTAATTCATTCTGTAGGGAAAGGTAACTTATTTTGACATTGAGCTACTCTTATTATTAACTTTGAAGTAAAGTTACTAGACAGAGACCCATGTACACCCAACAAGTCACAAAGATAACAGAGAAGGGCACCCAATTAATGAGCACATGTGAAAGCACTTTAAATCTGTACCATGCTTTATAAAGTATAATAATTGACTTCATAATATCCTTTTTATTTAGAAAGTAGTTGCATTTTTAAGAAGTATCAGTATTACTTTCCTGTGAAAGGATTATTTTTGTGTTTAGAATAGAACCACGTAAACTAATACCTGTTCCATCTATAAATCAGGGAGATAAAGAACTTATGAATGAGGCTTGCTGCTCTCCCAGACTTCTCAGTTTTCTCTCCTCATAGTTCCTAGTTTATAAGCAGACACAGTGATGATCTAAATGTAAAGTTTGCTAACTATCATTACATGAGACATTCATGTAGATGCTAATATAAGCTTATACTTGAGGCTTGCTGGAGCAGCGAAGAGTCTCTGATGTTAGTAACTACTTGAAATAAGCTAATTTCATACTTCAAGGAGGGGTTTAGTTCCCAATTAAGAATAAAAGCTAGAAGAAGGAGCCACTCAATTGAAGGTACTGATATAAGTTTAAAGTATTAAAGTTAAAGATAATATAAAGATAAAACAGTTAAATGAATCTAAGTCTATACAGAGACAGTAAATTCTATCCCAAGAAATTTTTAGAAATCTGGAAAGAAAATTAAAGGATTCATCTTGAATAATGACTTGTTACCTTAATGGTCTACTGTAATATTTCTGTATCATTCACTAGTCAATGTCCTATTTTATATCCTAGATTCTTTGTGTTTCTAGAAGGTATTTTCTTTTTGAAGAGAAATCTGAGGACTTTTGATTACCCAGATAACACATTTAAAATTCAGCTAATTAGATAATTACTGAAATCTCTAACTGCAACTCTTTGAGGCCAGTATTGCTACCTTTCTCTGAGAGAATGAGTCTGAATTCAACTAAAATGGTTGTGAACAGCTTAATAAGGACAGTTATAGATGATTTCCTGAGATTACCCTGACATTTATTTCAACCTGGAAAACAGCTGAATACATGGAGAGGAAGCACTCTCCATTTGGTCAAACAGACACCCCCCCCCACACACACATAAAGTTGTATTCATAGCCATTGACTCAGAAGAGAAGAAACTGGAAAAATATATTTAAATAATGATAAATTTCTAAGGACTGAGAGAGCCTTAGAAAGGTAAATGTAAAAATATAATATTTTAATTGTGTAAACTTCTTAAGTCTGGAGGGAAACTAGATAACATTAAAAGTTGCAGCAAATTAGACCCACAGGGGAAGCACTGATACTTGATGGGAAAGAATAGAAAGTATTGCTTTGTGTGCTTACGTGTCCAGGTAAAAGTTCCCCAAAGTGATCTTACCTTTGTTTTCAGCCTTCAGTTCTTCTGCCATCAAGCTGTCTTGTCGGTTACCAAGCACAAATGCCAGAAAGGAGAGGATCAGGGCATCCAGAATCCCAATAATAGCCAGGATGTATGCCCAGCGGACTGAGCAAGCCCCAAGAGTGTACTTGTCTGTCTTTTCTCCACACATTCGTTTCACTTCATCTGAATCCCAGCCGTCAGGGAAGATCATACAGCCAAGCACAAGGCAGGCAGCTGAGAGAGGGGGCAAACACAAAAAGAAAACAAAGGAGTTAACATAAATTTTATTTTAACAAATAGCAGTGATTTGACAGTTTCAAATTATAGAGTTAAAGAACAGAAAATCTCATGCCTGTCCTACATGGAGTGTGTCCCCCCCACTCTCCTCCATTTTAATGTAAATGTAGGCCAGCACCCTGCAGGAGCTATAGGAACTCACTTCACAGTGAGACCACGCATTCTGAGAAAACTGAAGGGATGTTGATCTATAAGAAAACACTAAAAAACCCCTAAATTTTGGTGTGCATTTGTGTAAGGCTTCCATTGCCAATAGGAATCATATGCATAAGAAATCATAACACTGCAGAAGGACAATTCAATGCTGGCTTTGAAGAGCTATGACAGAGCCAGATAAGGGACTAGGATACAATGCCACAGGGTATACTGACTTTGAGCCACAGCAAAATATAATTTCATGTTGTGATCTCTAACACACACACACACACACACACACACACACACAGTTTCTTGAAATTAAACTCTCCACATGTAATTTACTCCTATATTTTCTATTCTATTCTCTGTTCTATTTTATTTTTAAAAAGGCTGAAAAACACTGCAACATGGTGTGGCACTATTGAGCTTTTATGGAAATTCAGAAATTTGAGGTAAATACTTATATTCTATTTCCTAAATATCAGTGTGAGAATTATATGAATACTTAAAAAAAAAAGAATGTTACTTTGAAAATTAAAGAAGATAAGCGGTTTTGTTGCCATTCTATATTTAATTGAATTATTTGGGGTAAACGATAATAGTTTAAGTTATCAGGAGATTTATGAAAGGGTGGGTTCATTCATTAATTCCTTAATTCATTCACCCATTAATTCAACAACTACTTACTGAATATTTCCTATGGTGTCATCGACACTTCCTTACTTGAAGCCTTCATTATATCTCAAAGGGAACCCTAACTTCCCTCAGCCTTCAGTTCACCCTCTCTCTAATCCAGATTACGCATCACCACTTAGACCATCATGTTCAAAACCTTTTTCTGGCTCCCCATTGGTACCGAAGAACACTCAGATACCTTAGGAATTCAAAGGCTCCATAATCAAGCCCCTACTTACTTTTCTGGCCCCCCTTTCCTTTATACTCCCCACTTTACTTGGAGTGAATTAAACATGACTCTATCCACACAGCAAGTTTTTTAATCTTTTTATTTTCTCTTCTGCCTGGAGTATTTTCCACTATTGTCCTTAAATGTTCACTCTTAAAATCTTTTAACATTCAAGTCAAATGCAACATCCTCCACAAAGCAAGCCAGCTCAAATTCTTAACTTAGAAATATTGCTAAATTGGTTCTGGTACCAAGTCTGCAGTGTGTATGTGGGTTTTCTCAAGCATACCAACAAACAGTACTCGGATACCAACTGGATGTCCTACAGTTCAACTCAATTCTGAGACTATCTATCTGCCTGGAGATAGTACCAGATTCCACTGGTCAAGGGATTACCCCTGCCGCCCCTTCAGATGCCTGTCTCAAGCCCAGATTGTTTCCTGTGCTTCTGACAACTGACTACAAATTGGAGGTTTCAATGACCCCTCCAACTCAGGATGCCAATGGGAAATCCAGGTCGTTACCTGTACTTCTGACCCATTGGCTATATAAACCAGAGGTTCCCAAGACACCTTTCTCGAGTTCAGTTAATTTGCTAGAGCGGCTCACAGAACTCAGGGAAACATTTTACTTACTAGAGTACTGCTTTAATATAAAAGTATCTATATAACTCAGAAGCAGTCAGAACAGATGCATAGGGCAGGGTATGGGAAAAGGAGCAGAGCCTCCAAACCTCCTCCCAGTGCACCACTCTTCCAGCACCTCCACATGTTCACCAGAAGCTCTCTGAACTTCATCCTTTGGGGCTTTTACCCAAGCTTCATAGGCATTATTGAGTAAATAATTATCCATTGGTGACTGATTCAGCTCCAGCCTCTCCCCACTCTAGAGAGGTCAAGGGGATGGGACTGAAAGTGCCAACCCTTTAGTCACGTGGTTCTCCTGGCAATCAACTCCCAACCTTAGGTGAGCACCAAAAGTCATCTTATTAACATAACAAGAAACATCTTAAGCACTCTTACACTTAGGAAATTCCAAGGGTTTTAGAAGCTCTGTGCCAGTGGAAGCAGACCAAAATACAGATTACTTATTATAAATCACAATATCACAGTTGTCCATCTCTGAACTCCCATAGATGTTGACTGTACCTATCCTAGAGTCTTGGTTACTTTTTATATTTGTTGTTTATTTACAAGTATTACCTCAATTCATAGACTATAAGCTTTCTGAGTCTTTGGTCAGTATTAACATAAGAAATCATTCAAGCCTGTGAAGAATTTTTTTGTGAGTTTATTTGAGCTAAACTGCGGACAATTGCCGGGAAGTCAAAACCTCAGTGGATTGAGATAATGCTCAGGAGAATGGCAGTTTTGCACCTGGCTTTATAGATTACAACCAAAGGGGAAGATGGAAGTGGGTTACGTAAAATTTACTGGTGATAGATTAGGGAGGTGGAAGAAAGCAAAGAGGGGAAACCTCTGGGATTGGATAAAAAGTAAAATGATAGACACACACTTCTTTTACATAGTTGGGTAAAGGATAGTTAACAGTCTACAGTTAACAAGGTATCAATAACAATGAGAAGATTCCTGGTCTATGCCCTGGTGCATTGGGGGCCTGGAAAAAGGGGAAATTGCTTTGTTTTGCAAAGGCATGTGTTAATCAGGTATGTTATCGCAGATGCAAAAGATAACCGACAGGCTTAAAGTGAAAATTAACCTTTGTTAGGGATAAATACTGTCTCCTGACATGGCTACCAACCATAACCTGTTAATGTTTAAAAAAGTTTTACTTTCAGACCATTCTTAGTGGTTGTTTCAGGTCTCTGAGTTTGCAAGGCTGCCACACAGGCCTGCTCTGAGCTTGTCAGGTTTAGCATGTGGCCCCTTTTCGTCCACATCAGTCATCATATTCATAGCACCTAAAACACTGCCTTATACATAGTAGGCACTAAAGTACTTTTGACTGGGAGAGTAAGTGAATGAATACATGAATTGTAACAGATAGTATACTCTAACTATAGTTTATAAAAGTCAATATCACAACTACTCAAGGTCACAAAAAACTATGAAAGGTCTAGTTAAAGATAGATTTATATTTAGGTGACATATAACAGAGACAATTTTGTTATGACTAGACAACAGATTATAAGTACTTGGGAGAAGAGTTAGAAAAAAGTGAAGTTAATGATTTGAAAATATTTTCAAATTCCTGTTTCCTTTGTATCTCTCAGCACACAGTACCAACATGGTCTCCAAGGCACTGTCTAGCAATAACAATCTGTTTATTTTAAAAATATGTGGTTTACATGAGAAAAACTCATTTTCTTTGAGAAGACATAGAAGATCTTTGAATCCAAACCATAATTCAAAAAAAATCACCTCTAAGGAGGATATGGGACTTGGAATATTTTAAAAATATTCTAAGTGCTTTTTTACATATTAAATAATTTTTATCTATGAGAAAGTTACTTTTTTATAAAGAAAAAAATCAAATACTTTTCCTTTATGAACGGGAATCCCTTGGAGAATAATTTATACCTTCAGTAAACACAATAGAAATCACCATTGACAAGTTTAGACAGGTTACTGGACATTACAGGACAACTTCACTGAAACAGGATATTTGTGGAATGGTGATGAAAGGACAGAAAAAAGGCCTTTCTTTTTCTTTGCTGTGGCTTTCCACAACTTATGAGAAGCAACTGGTAACTAAACCCCAGGATTGTTGGCTCCTATGATTCTAACAGCCCCTCTGTTCAAATGCAGACAAGACAAGCTACTTTCAAGACAACATTCTTGCACCCCCCTCCTCCCCAGTTGTTTTCACAACTCAGGGATAATTACCACCAAGGAGCCTCTAGTAGGTAGAAAGTTCCCTTCCCCTCTCCCCTTCAAACAAGCCTCTTTTGCACTCTTCATAACTTCTGCTCTAAGCACATTTTACAGGCTTGGGGAAAATACTAATAAGACACCTCCCTAGTACATCTCCCCAACTATCTCCTGGAAAGTGAACACACTGTAACTTTTCAAGAAAACCTCCCTGGTATCTGCTCAGCTTCAAGACAACCCAAACCCCTCCCTTCCTTGTCGCCTAGCAACGTACCTGCTTAAAACCCCAGGCCAATCCTTTGTTTCTTGCCCTTGTATTGATTAGCAATGCACTTGCCCTTTCCCTTCTCAGGAATGGGGGTGGGGAGTAAAAATAAGATTTATTTCTGCATTTCTTCTCTCAGTTGTGAAATCTTTCACAGCCCGGGTCACTGGTCCAAAACCCTAACAAGGTGACATCAACAAAGACATCTTTTCTGAAGGTCTTCTGCACTGAGGGTAGACTATCTTAAAAGTTTCCATTTCTGGAGACTCTGAGTTAGAAATTGGGATAAAAAGAGCAAAGGTAGAATTAAAACCCTGGAACTAAAACCATAGCAGAATAATGGCAACCCCTTGTTCCCTATTTTCAAAGTCTATTTTAAGTGAAGAATCTGAAAAAAGAGATGATGTCATATACAATTTTGTTTAATTTTATGCTGGTATTTAATGGGTATTTTGCTGAAAGTTATAAAAATAGAATTTAAAAAATGCAATTCTTATTTTCAATAGTCTAAGGGAGTTGGCTGTTCAAAGACACAGGTCAGGGTTTGGCCTCCTGCGGAAAAAAGTTTAG